ATTTCCGTTGTTCGATATTTTGCGTCTGAAAAATGGAGCATTTATCGTGGTCGCCATTGTTTCTCACTGAAACCAGTAGTGTCTTTCCACACGATGAAAACGAAATAGTCCATTATTTATGACGTATTGGCAGGGCGTAACGGTTGTGTGAACTAACAAAGAGAGGGACGAGCAGATAAGCACAATTAGAATAGGATATTATTTTATTTAAAATTTACATAATTTTTAATTTATTCATATATTTATTTGCACATGCGCACACACACACACACACACGCACACACACACGCACACACACACACACACATATATATATACATATATATATATATATATATATATATATATAGAGAGAGAGAGAGAGAGAGAGAGAGAGTGATTTGGAGGATAGGGAGAGAGAAAATATCGTACGATAAAAGATAATTGTATGATATTTTAAAAGTGTTTATTTGTATATATTTACGCTGCTTTTTGGCTACTTCGACGTGGTGTAATGATTAGAAAGCTTGTTTTGCTGGCTCAATTACGACTGAGTAGTGTGTTCAATCCTCACCGGGGGCCGCTTAGTTTCGGCTTAGTGCCACATCACAGCCGCGCTTAGAAAATCACTATATTTATGTAGTTTTAGTCTGGCCTCAAGGACAAAAAAAAAAAAAAAAAAAAATTAGAAATGATAAATAAGAATTAAATGATAAACTGAATCAGTCACAGTGATCCTTGAAATTAACATGAATGGATTGTTCCACAGGTGCCGACATGAAGAATCCCATTTTAATTCTATTGTTTTTTCGAAATAAATTCCAACACTATACACACACACACACACACACACACACACATGTATGTGTGTGTGTATTTATGTATGTGGCTGTGTTTGTATGTATGCATTTATATATCTCCATTAACAGTTTCCCAGTCTTGGTGTTAATGCTAAAGACTTTGAAACTATTGATGGAGATAGATCCAGTTGCAACAAGTTTAAGCAAAAAAGAATTGAGAATTCCAAGAAAAAAGGTAGAAATAGAATCTGTCCCAGAGCTATTAGGACACCAACACACTTGCAGTATTTGTGGAAAAGTCAACCTCTCGGCGGTTGGTTTAGACAATGACGCGAGATCACACCAGAGATGTCAGGTGCAAACTCATGTGAATGCAACCGTACCAGAAAGACCTGCAGGCTACTTGTGCGAGTTTTGTGACAAAGTTTGTAAGTTTGTTGCAGGAGTCAAACATCACAGGGACAAACAAGTTTTCAACATAACACAGACAAGTTTTATGTTTGCCACGTGTGTCAGAGAGGGTGAAAGTGAAACTGGCCTTAAGAATCACTTACGTCACATAGCGTTAGTTCCGTAAAAATGATGCAAATAATATAATTCTAAATGAAAAATACAAAATAATGCTACCAAGAGAAGAGATGGTCTTCTTCCGTAAAGAACTGCCAAGTATAATGAATTTCAAGTAAATTTAGGAAGCAAGTATTCGCCTGATAAATTTTATTAAATAGAATGAACAGGACCTGTTTAATTTTCTATTTTTTTCCAACTTTTGAATGTGTATTGGGATCGATATTGTGGATAAAATGTCCGAAGTTGATGTTAGTTTTGTTGTTTTATTCAAGTAATGTCGACCATCTCAGTCATTATCAAGAACCATGTACTGGCAGTAAAGTATGCAAATATTCGGCTGAATATATCCTGATATTTTATAGAGGGTTGAAAGCTAATGGTTCTTGATAAAGACAGTATTTTAATAAAACAATATTCGGACATTTTTTTCCACAATTTCTATCCCAATGTACAACACCTTATTCGAAAATTTTTGCCTGAATTTCTGGAATGAGGAGTTAATATTATTTACTTGCGAAATATAGCCGATCCAAATAATCTACAGGGAATTTCGAAGTCAAACTTTTATTTAATCTATGGGCAAATCGTTCTCCTTCCACTGCCCATGTCTAGGGATATCTCGTCTAATTCAATATCCTAGTGGATCAAAGCTTCGGTTCGTGAATTAGGTAACAGTAATTATGAGTTCAATATCTTTTCCTTCTCCTCGACTAGTTACCAACTATGGTTAGAGAGCGCCCATTCTGCGCCAGGAGAGAAGAGACAGATTCATGCTTTTCCCTTGGGTATTTATACGAAACTGACTGTAACGACCTCGACCGCAATTTCTCGTTACGAGCTGGTAATCATTAAACCACCTGCGCCTCAAATAGAAGTGGATCAAATAATGGCTCCAGTTTCACATTCCCTTGACAGAACGCAGCATATATATTCTGTTTCAATAAGATAGTAACATCGCCTAATGAATCAGCTTTCCGTTTGACATTCCTTATGAAGATCAGAATACAGATATGACAGGTATGAGATAGACAACGACTTATGTCACTGGATCAAGTGAAGTGTTCCATTTAACATTCCCTAGGAAGGACAGCATATATGTGACATAAGTATATTACCAGCATAGACATGTGCATCATTCTCAGAAGGTGACAGAAATGTTACAGACATTAAGGAAGATTTTGGTGAAATGTGGTGGAAAGGTTATCGTAAATCAAAGAATGACATAGAAAATGGTTTCGAAAGTAAAAAAAAAAAAAAAAAAATCAATATGTAATAAAAGTTTTATAGCGCCTCGGATTTAGGAATTGGAGTGTCGAGTTCGAATTTCAGTCGAATCCATTCCATTCACTTACGTGCTAATACCGCCGGGAAAGGTATGAATCCTCTTCTCGTCCCCCCAGCTATGGGTAAATAGCAGAACAGACTGGATTCTATTGCCTTGGATGGCAACTGGTCTAGGAGAAGGACAACTTTGAATTCAAAACCTGCAGAGCGTCGTTTGGGGACTTTGTGGCGAATAATGCACCAGGTCTCTCTATTCGGCCCTTCAAAAAGTGTGGTTCGTTCTGCACAAAATTATACGGGACGGTGGAATAATGGATAGCGGCTCGGATTGCGGAATCAGAGAGCCGAGTTCGAATTCCAGTCGAATTCATTACATTCAGTTACGTGCTAATACCCTTGGGAAAGGTGTGAATGCTCTTCTCCCTTAGCTATGGGTAAATAGCAGGACAGACCGGGTTCTATAGCTTTGGATAGCAACTGGTCTACCGCAGAAAGAAATGACAACCTACTGCGGGAAAAATCTGCCTCGTCAGTCATGTATCGAAAGATACATGATCGCCTAACCGTATATAACGCATGGCACATAACTGACTGACTATTCTTTAAATCTCATATGACTTCGCCTTTCATAGTTTTCTGATAAACATGGAACAGCCAAATAATTATATCAAACACATTCCTTTTCTCTTGACTTACGGTCATATGACGTTGAAACATCGGTTGTCTTACGAAGTTAAGAAACGTCGAGCTTGGTCAGTACCTAAATGGGTGACCGCTTGGGAACACCGGATACTGTAAGCTTGGATTTATGAGTGATGTAATGGGTAACGGCTCAAAATTGAAAATCGGAGAGCCGAGTTCCAATTCTAGTCGAGTTCATTATATTCACTTACGCGAATATAAGGAAAAGGTATGAATCCCTCACTTCTCCCCCAGCTATAGGTTAATTAGTAGAAGTTGTATCAGTAAAGTCATTGTTATCCCCAAAATATTCTTACAATCTAAAAATATTTTCTGACTTTAAATAACTTGAAAAAGTTTGATAAACCATAAAATAACAAATCAATCTCTCTTCTCTTAAATACATCATTTCTTCAGGACGTAGGTTGTTATAGTTCTCTTTCTTTTCACATCTGCAAATTCTGCCTTACGATTATTGCTTTTTGGAATGGTATTTATATGTTTTGAATTCAGAATTTTATTTCTCCTAGATTTTTTACCAACCATTATTGAAGAATCCAGCTTGCTTTGGATTTTACCCATAATTTTCGGAGGGATGGTTCATGCCTTTCTAAAGGCATTCATGCGAATTGAGTATTGTTGGAATTTGAATTCGGTGCTACTGATTCCATTTTGGGCTCTGTTAACAATAGTCCACTCGACACTTTTTTCTATTGCCGATAAAATGGAAGCACACACTTTGACTGAAACTTTTATCTATCGTCAAATGTGAAGGAATTATCTATAAATAAGTTAAGAAAAAGCCAATCTATTTTATCATTTGCATAGACATAAATACGGAATTGGAGCTATACTATCTCTATAGCTCAATTACATTAAACCATACTTGCTTGCGGAAAAAAATCTTCAAATTTGACACCGAGAAGAACTCTGACATTTCAGAAAAGGAAAAGATTTTAGGAAAATAAGGTGTAGCTAGTATGGTGTGTTTGATACCATGTAAAAGAGAAAAAATACTGCCTGTTTGTGTCACGTTGGACCTACGTGTTAGGCTTTCTTCTTTCCATCAAATGTTGATCCTGGATTTCGTGCATGCCTCGTTTAGTGGCACTTAATCGGCACTAAATTAAATCTGGACCCTTACCGTCTACCACGGACAACGGATGTGTCCCCGAACCGACAGTAAAGACGGGCTGTTTTCCACATCAATGGTCTGCGAAAGCGTAAACTGAAAGCCCTTGGTAACATTGTTCCGCCTTGAATAGGTTCCTTATTTTTAAATAAATGATAAACGACACCGAATCAGAGAGAAGCAGAGTGTGTGTGTGTGTGTGTGTGTGTGTGAGAGAGAGAGAGAGACAGACAGACAGACAGACAGACAGACAGACAGACAGAGAGAGACAGACAGAGAAAATGAGATAGAGAAAGAGTGAGACACAAAAAAGTGAGAGAAAGAGAGACCTAGAGAAAGAGAGAAGTAGTGAGATATACATAGAAAGATATATAGAGAAAGAGCGAGACGGACAAAAAAAGAAAGCGAGAGACATGCAGAAAGTGAGAGACAAAGAGGTAGACAAATAGATAGAGAAAGTGAGATATAGAGATAAAGAGCGAGACAGATAAAAAAGAAAGAGGGAGGGAGGGAGACAGACAGAGAGAGAGAGACAGACAGACAGGCAGACAGAATCAGTGAGTTAGACAGAGCAAGAGAGATAGAGAAAGAAAGAAAGAGACGGACAGACAGAGACAGTGAGACTGACGGAGAGATAGATAGATAGATAGATAGAGAGAGAGAGAGAGAGAGATAGACAGAGAAAAAGAGTGAGAAAGAGGGAAGGAGACAAAGAAAGAGAGAGAGAGAGAGAGAGAGAGAGAGAGAGAGAGAAAGAGGGAGACAAACAGAGAAAAAGAGAGAGAGAGAGAAAGAGGGAAACAGACTTTGAAAAAGAGACATACAGACAGACAGAAAGACAGAGAAAAAGAGGAGGAGAAAGCGAAAGACTGAGAAGACTGAGAGAGAGAGAGAGAGAGAGAGAGAGAGAGAGAGAGAGAGAGAGAGAATGAGTCACAAAAGAGAGTGAGACAGACAGAGTTTATTTTACTCGACCTGCTGATTACTTTCCCACTACGCCTCTTCTTGTAATAGTGCGTTGGTAGATTCAGACGTTTGTTTTGATTTTTCCAAGATTTAATTTTCTCATATTCAAGGTTCAACCAAATACTGAGTCTTCTTAATTTTCGAAAAAAGAAGCAAAAAAAACAAAAAAAAAAACCCAAAAAAACTGTCGTGTCAAAAGTAGGAAACCATTTAATTAACCTTAACAGTTAAAATCTTTAAAATAGTCATTCTGTGCGCATGCGTGCGTGTGTGTGATTCTTACGGGACAGTGAAACTTTTAAAAATGTGTCTTCGGATGTTTTTCAATTGGAAATGAGTCAGCCGATGATGATGCATCTCGTGAAGAACGGCTTGAAGTATCGATCATGACGAAGACTTGTGTTGAATCTCATCTGCTTCAAATGTGTCAGATGTTTGCAACACAAGCGATGAAACAAGACATCTGCATTTGCACCGCGGATCGGTAAAAAGAGATAATGTTAGGAAAATGGCTACCAGATGAAGTAAGTGAATAAAACTTAAAGAAAAAAAAAACGCCCGTGAATGTATGTATGTATATATGTGTGTGTATGTTAGCGCACGCATGCGCGTATGTATTATATTACAAGCAATGTTAATATTACATAATTCTTGAAACTGAATATATAATGTCTGTAAAGAAAGTCACTGGAATATATAAACGGTTCATTCTTTATGGAAAACTTGACGGAAAGGGTTACATTGAGATGACCAAAGATGCATTCCAAAAGCTTAGCAGGGTATTAAGAGACAGAAAAATTACGTTAGAAACGAAGAAAAGAGAACTGAACTGTTACATGATATCTGTCCTCCCATATGGCAGTGAATGATGGACAATGCTGGGGGTATCCTTCTGTAGAACCACATGGATTGAACATGTGAGCAACGACAAGGTTTTAGAAAAAATGGAAACAAAAAGGAAATATACTTAACAGACAGTTGAATTTTCTGGCTACAGAATAAGGAAGGAATGCTTGGAAAATCTGATACCCACAGGACAGATTGAAAGAAAGGGAGACAAAAGAAAACAGCGCATAACATACTTGATGAGTATAAAAGAAGCGATTTCAGTTCTCACTTGATTGATTGATTTTCGTTATTGATTGTTCTTTACGGGGTTATCAACGCTTCATGGTCTGTTTAAAGCCGAAACATGTTTCAGATTGTAAGAAGTAACTTAAAGTACTTGGTGTTCCCAAGTTGTCACCTACCTAAGTGCTGATCGAACCCTACTCTGCTTAACTTGATCGAACGAGAATTTTCAGTTCGTGGACGAGAATAGAGAGAGCATAATAAAGCATCTGATGATGATCCCGAATGAGCATGTGCAGACTAATGAGACTAAGGCACCATTGTCCTAGGTAGGTAACTTTTTCGTTAATATTAACTGGTTAGATTATTATTGGAAAGATCTCGTATTTAGAGAGCTAGCAAGTTATAAACAGAGTGAGATAGATATAAATCTAGATAGATAGAAGGCAAGAAATATGAAATGCGGGAAGTTTTCGTTGAGACGTTGAACCTTTCAAAAATTCTTTATATTTGGTATTTGGCTACATTTTGGGGTGTGGATCGAGCTGAGAACTTTTCAGCAGCCACTGATATATATATATATATATATATATATATATATATATATATATATATATATATATATATATTGGCAGCATGGCCCGGCGTTCCCCGTGCTTAATTCAAAAAATCGTACGACTCATACAGCAATCGCTATCACTTGAATGAAAATAATTTTGCCCTTCCTTGCCTTTAAAGGAGTGCCCTTTGCCGTGCTGATGTTGCTACATGCCTTACTTCTTGCCTATCTCACACTGCGAATTTTTTCTAAGCTCTATACTTAACAGTAAATCTGTTACGAAAAAAGAACTAAACAAAATGAACACAAAACGATCAGCTTTAAAAAAAGGTCTCGTAACTGGAAAAAAACGAACGAAAAAAGAATGTTAACAACAAATACTTTTTCACACCCAACCCTGTTCTGCGGAATCAGAATCAACGTTGTGCTTGAGCAAGCGATTGAGCCAATTGGAGTAAAGTGCCATGCAGATTTAAATTTTTCCTACTTGTGACGAATGCAGCAATCGATTTTTTTGCATGCTAGCATGCTAGTTAACATTCGTGTCAGTCAGCTGTTGGCTCTCACGCTGGCCAATAGAATGTTCCTACCTATTCGTGGCAGCCAGCTATAGGCTCTCACTCTGGCCAGTAGAAAATGACCGCAAACTACATGAAAAGTGCCGTAGAAGCATGAAAAAATCGATTATTTCCACTATCGATGAGAGTTGGGAAATACAAAGTCGGTCTTGGCCTTCCCACTAACTTGGAGCATGTGCATGTAAATTTTGGTGCAAATCCGTCGAAAATTGCGGGCGTGCATTCGTTACACAGACACACACACAAACACACACACACACATATCCTTTATATATATATATATATATATATATATATATATATATATATATATTTATACATATATATATAGTGTATTTGTTTTTTTATGCAAGTTTCGTTGAAAACGACGGGTAAGTTGTGGTGGTTGAGTTTTATATAATTTCCCATGTGTTCGTATAATTTTTTTCTTTTCAGACACGTTGATAATACAAATATAATAGCATCATCCACGTGTACTAAAAGGCTATAAATAATGGAAGCATGTGGTCGTGTTCATAGTTGATATTTATTGAGTGTTGGCTTTTCTTTTTATCAAATAAAAGAAAAAGACAACACTCAATAATATCAACTATGAACACGGCCACAATACGCTGACTGTGTTTGTAAAATAAAACATTCCTATAACTGTAGATACATACATAAAACAATGCAAATAATATAAATCCTTGATAATGGCTAAAAGTATAGCCGTAAGCTCTTGGAAAATATTCGGACAATTTTGATATAATTTATGTCCTGAAATGAAAAAATTATACGAACGCATAAGAAATTATATTAAAAACTCAACATATATATATATATATATATATATATATATATATATATATATATATATATATATATATATGTGTGTGTGTGTGTGTGTGTGTGTGTGTGTGTGTGTGTGTGTATATATATGGAAAGTGTGGTGGTTGAGTTTTTAATATAATTTCTTATGTGTTCGTATAATTTTTTCATTTCAAGACATAAATTATATAAAAATTATATATATATATTATAAACATTGATCATTAATATATGAACACAGATAGATACATATGATCAGACTAAGCTATGATTCTCCTGGAATAGATATGAACAGATAAGATATATATAAAAATAGATACATACATACATACAGATAGATAGATAGATAGATAGATAGATAGAGAGAGAGAGAGAGAGAGAGAGAGAGAGAGAGAGATGAACGGACTAAGATAGCTAGATAGATAATGAACTGACAGATAGATAGATAGATAGATAGATAGATAGATAATGGCCTGACTCAGATAGATCAATAGATAGATATAACGATCTGGTGTCGCTTTACTACTGTGTCGTTTCGATTTTACTACCAGGCATTTATCTAAGCTCTAATTTTGCTATATTCTAGGCACGGTACAAGGTTATGGTTGAGTCTTCATAAAAATATCAATTAATCCCTAAAGTAGAAACCTTTAAAATAAAGTGTGTGGAGAAGGCTTTTAGTAGATAGTGAAACTTCAACTTACATTGATCTGGAATGTGTTTTCTGATCCTCCGACAGTGGGAATTATTACTGAGAAAAGAATTGGCTTGAACATGCATCTGCATATTAAATGGTTATCACCGGCATAACAATCGGAGTTAACGTACTTTCTTGGAACTCCTGCATAATCGTCCTTCACTGCATAATTCTTGATCGCTTTAAACAGGGATAATTAATTCAATTTGCTACATTATCGATATTTGCCCCACAAAATGTCGAAAAGGTGATGTTCTAATTTTTCCACTCGACGAGCATTCACCAAGATATGAGTCAACCATTTTGTCAATATGTTCGAAATTGAGGCTTATTTTTCAGCTACGCTTCTTCGCACGCATATTCAACGCAACTTGTATTTGCGCCTATTTCAGAAATTCACTGAATATGTGCGCCGAAAATGCTTAAAGAATTCTTCACATAGACAATCATGAATCACTAGGGATTCGAAGATACCAGACAAACTTTATCATAGAAATAAGTGTTTTCATCTTCTTAAACATAGTGATCAAAATCTCTTCCTGTAGACAATTGTATGTGTAGAGAATAATTTATTACTAAGCACGCTTTTATTTTTACTGTCTATGACCATTTGAGGTAATTTTTTTGGTTCGAACAGAGGGTATATTTAAGCTCCAGTTAATTTATTAAAAAGGCATAGGAGCCATTCCTTAGAAATTACACATTAAAAAATTTAGAAAGACGTGAGACAACCGTAACAACGAGTGATGTGACTGAAAAATTCAGGAAGAATTTCTGCCCATTTCGTCAATCCCCACGACGAGTGTTCTTTGAAAAGTACGATAACATGACGCTTAAAATCTGTGAGTTGTTTGGCCATACGTGAAGAGCAGAATGAAAGACGAAAGTTGTCTGCAAATAACTCGTCATTTAGACGAGTCACAAGATCGAGCAGCAATTAATCAATCATAAAAGAACCAATCAGAATTAAGTAATTATGCGAGAGTCAAATAATTATTCAAGGACATGAATATTCAAGAAATTTATTCAAGGTTATTTAAGATCAATTATTCCTGAAAGATGAAACGGCGATAATAAATTGCCGCTGTTTTACTGGGCACTCTGTAGAAAGAATCAGCAAGGATTTATGGCCGCAGAACAGAAAAATATATCTGCCAAATTGATTTGGCTATCTTCTAAATGAAGAAAAACATCAAAAGATGCTTTTTTTGCTTTAAACTTTTATTAAATTTTATGGAAGCTGGAAGATGAAGCTGGGACGACCCAAGAAATTTCCTAAAGCACGGTGACTATTCACCATGTTATGGAACGTTCCGAGTGCAAACATTGCTACTATGCTTCAGTGGGTAAACAACTCATTTAATTTAACGTCTCAAGAAGATTTGAAAATACTATTTAGGGGGACGCCCAATTTTTATTCACACTTTTCTTCAGAGAGCAGTAAAATTAAACTACCTGAGAAATATTGGTAGATTGTACAATTCAAATCGAAATGAATCTCACCATGATCTCGGCATGTTCGTTTTAGTAGTATATTACCATTGGAACGATTATAATTATCTGGTTAGCTAGTTTGAATGTCCAGAGCTTGATTTAATTTTGTTTTATGGCTTATCAACCCTTTGTGTGTTATTTAAAGTCGAAACATATTTGGGATTGTAAGAATAATTTTTTTTGCGAGTGAATATTGCAGTTACCGTATTTCCCGCACTATAGTGCGCACCTGTATATAACTGTTGAAACTTGACTAATGCATGGAATAATAATGCAACACAAAATGTACTTAGAACAAAATGTATTGAAACAAGAAAGTGTACACAATATTTACATATAGTCTTTTGTATATTCCTGGTAAGACCGTGCCTGGAGAATGTGTCGGGCAGAGTCTCTGGATTGAATCTCTTGATTCCTCCCTCTCTTCCCGGTACCAACCATATTTATATGGTCGGTACTCCATTATGCAAATTAGGTGGATCCTACCACAACATTAACCCGTACTCCTATAAATTCAACTATCTGGACATAACTGGTTCGACGCTGGCGACCGGTTTTTGTGAAGCTATGTTCCCTTAACCCTAACCCCGGTCACTCAAGGTTCGAAGATACAATTCATATATAACCCGCACCTTTATATAACCCGCACCCTACATATTTCGAGAAAAAAGTCGCGGATTATAGTCCGGAAAATACGGTACACTTTTCTGAGAATAACAATGATTTTTCCAGATATAAGTAATGCTATTTAACCGATAGCTGGAGGAGAAAAATGGATTTATAGCTTTCTCAAGGTTATTTGGGCGTAAGTGAAGTTCAAAGTCGAAAAGATAGACTTGTTCATTACCTTCAGTCCCACTCTGTGTATCTATGTTGTTTGTAAATGAGATTTGAAATGATCATAAGAAAATTATGCCACGATTTCACTTCTTCTCAGTAGACTTTAACCGCTGTCGGCGAAAGCCTTTGCGAGGAAATTTAGAAAAATATTAAATCCAACCCCCAGGAGAAGGAGAAGTATTGCCTAGGAGGAACCTAGGCAATACTTCTCCTTCGTGTGGGGGCTGAGTTTACTGTCCGGCGCTTGAGGGAAGTGCTGAGGAGTGTTTGGGCAATTTTTCCACGGTATTGCCGTCAAACCCACTTTAAACCTCGACCTTGTGTCACATTCGGTAGCGACGCGGGTGCGCTGAAAAATGCATTCTTCTCAGTAGATTTTGATAATTGCTTGAGGAGAGTTTCTTGGATGGTTAACCGATATTTGATTTATTCACTTGGATTCGGAGAGCCGGCAGGCAGATACTTCAGTGAGTCAATTTCTTTTTTCGTTGAGGCCATTAGTGCTATTTTTCATGATTGGAATGCCATACTTGATTCCGATTTAGATCCAGCGTTCAATAGGAGGAGTTCTAACATTCCTTCGAAGAATTTTAAAGAAACTAGAATTTTTGGCAACACGCGTTAGTGTGTTGAAATCCCTCGCAGTATTTAGTATTGTTGAGGGTACTGCTAACATTTTTGTCGAGATTAACAAACGCTACGTTTCGTTCTATTTCGCTGAAATTTGAATAAACTGATTTGTTCGGAAAATACTTTGACAGAAACCCTACTTTGCTGTTAAATAATTTCTTTTATTTAAATTAATTTTATAGGACTTCATGGTAAACTATTTTTTAGGACTTCATGGTAAACTATTTTTTATTATTTTCCTTTTCCTTTCCCCTTTTTAAAAGCGAAGAATAATTTCTTAGGATTTTTTACTCTTGAGTATGCAACATACAACTGGCCATGCGTAAATATTTCTTTCTGGAGCCAAATTCCAACTTTTGAAGCGTTTGGCCTTGTGATTTGTTTATAGTTCTCACGAACGCAGGACAAACTGGAAACCGGATTCTTGTATATAAAAACTTAAAAGATATGCAAAAAATATTGCATTTTTATTAGATGATTCTTTGTTACTATAATCATTAAATTGTTTTAATATAGAGGGCGTATTTTTATGTTAAATAATGAAACTTATTTTTTCCAAAACATTAAGGGAAATTTATTGTACTAAACTACGCACCCTAGTAAAATCAACTGCAGTTTGCCCCCACTTACCTGTTTGCCTTTCCTCCAACATTTGATTTTGATCGGTCAATGTATGGCTACTTTAGAGGGTGTGACGGACGGACTAACGGAAATTTATATATAGATTAATGGAGCTTTTTTAATTCGACATTATTTCTTATTACTATAAACATTATATTTAGTGCTGTTTGAGTAGAGGCTGCTGTTTATTTATTTTTTTTATTAGTGAATTTAATTATCTAAAGGTGAAGCACACTTAGCTTAAAAGGAGTTTCCTTGATTGCAAAAAAAGGGAGTACAGATACGATTTCTGTTGGTAGGAATATTTTCTTTCGTAGAACGTCTTGATTTCTAGGCCGTTAGACATTAATTCACCGTTAAAAAAACAATACAGGGATATCCACTGAAACACGTGTATCCACTAAATATTCCTTTGAATGTAAACATTTTTCACGAATTTATAGGCAGACTATTTAGTGGATACATTTTCGAAATGAGCATCCATCAAGCGAATTCTGGTTAGGAGAATTTAAGATCTAGCAGTTTCGTTTATTGGGATCATAGGCTAATCCGTATAAGCTTAGATTAGATAACTTGAAAACGAAAGAATTAGGTTTGTTTGCTGCTGATTACAGTCGCCACTTCAATTGAAATAGATGAGCAGCGCAGATGACTGTCGAATTTTAATTAGAAGCGACTGTGAAATCGGAAGATTTAGTTATGTTTTTACTCTGGTAGTTAGACGAGATAAAAAAGAATATTTTTCCGAGACAACGAATATAACCGTAGAAAAGTGCGTAGAAGAATGAATTGCTACTGATTGTTAGATCGCCATTGTTACATTGCCAGTTAGACGACGATTGACTACAAGCGAAGACATCTGTGAGAAATTTCGTAACTTCTTCCAGAAGCTTTTCAGTGGGGGGGGGGCAAGGGCTGAGCCACCTATGTTCGACACCTATTCAACTGACTTTCTTCGTCTACAGACGACTGAAGTAATTATGGTCCCATAACGGGGGATGAGATTCAGAAAAAGTTTGAAGAAGATCGTGACATGACTCTCCTTGGATCAGTAGCCTCCTTTACGAATTGTATTAGAATGGCAGTTACTTTATATTCAGTTAATGGCCCGCACTCTAGCAACTTAATATGAGGATTTAGTTAATATTTTAAGAGACCGTCGTCGGTAAGACGATAAACTACGTCCTACAGCAAGGCCTCTCATCAGGAGGTTTTGAAGAGCGTGGAACCACACTGACCCTTTTGGCGAAAAGATTAGTAAAAATTAGTTAGGTTAGTCAGTGCTAGTAGCGAAGACTTATTCTATCCCTTTTCTACTAATTTTTCGGGTGCCATATATTTTGTGCTCTATACGAAAATAATCTACGAGTTAGGAGTTTCCTTTTGCTCAACAAGTATACCTGACGAAAACTGAAAAATGGGTCAGCCAAAACTTTTTATTGACAACAGCATAACTACAAAGAAGGGATTTGAGAGTCCGAATAATGTTGAATATGTTACAATG